CTGGCCTCAGGTCATCTGCCCACCTCAGCCTCCCAAAGTGCTGAGATTACAGGCATGAGCCACTGTGGCCAGCCTGCTTCATGTATTTTGTAACCCTATTATTAGGTGTATATGTATTTATGATTTTTAAGTCTCCCTGATGAATTGATCTTTTTGTTATAGTGAAATGTCTGTCTCTGTCTCTGGTAATACTATTTTTCTTGATATCTATCTTTCTTTTCTTTTTTTTTTTTTTTTTTTTCTTGAGACGGAGTTTCGCTCTTATTGCCCAGGCTGGAGTGCAGTGGTGCAATCTCAGCTCACTGCAACCTCCACCTCCTGGGTTCAAGTGATTCTCCTGCCTCAGCCTCCTGAGTAGCTGGGATTACAGGCATGCGCCACCATGCCCAGCTAATTGTTTGAATTTTTAGTAGAGACAGGGTTTCTCCAAGCTGGTCCGGCTGGTCTTGAACTCCCGACCTCAGGTGATCCACCCACCTCAGCCTCCCAGAGTGCTGGGATTACTGGTGTGAGCCACTGCGCCTGGCCAGATGTCTATCTTACCTGATATTTATAGAACCACTGCAGCCTTCTTAGCATCCTGTTTACATAGTATGTATTTTTCCATCAGTTTACTTTCAACTTATATTTATAGTACATTTTTTACACATAGCATATACTTGAGTCTTGCTTTTTAAAAAATCTATTCTGACAATGTCTTTTAATTGAAATTCTTATTTCATTAATGTTTAATGCAATTGTTGATATGGGTGAAATTAAGTCTATCATTTTATTCTGTTTTGTTTGTTTGTCCCTGTGCTTTTTGTTCCTCTGTTCCTTCTTTTCTGCCTTTCTTTGGATTATTTGAATATTTATCAAAATTTCACTTTAATGTATCCGTTGGCTTTTAGTTATGTCTCTTTTTATTTGTTTGGGATTTTTAGCGGTTTTGGTATAGATTAAAGTATACATCATCAACTTGTCACAGTCTACTTAGAGTAAAATTGTACTACTTCACATAAAGATGTAGAAATCTTTAAATTGTATAGTTCCATTTACTTCCCCAAACCTTTGTACTATAGTTTCTGTATGTAATACTATAAACCCTGTAGGACGGTATTATAATTTTTGCTTTCAGAAATTCGATATGTTTTAAAGAAAGTAAAGGGGATAAGAGTCTCCCTCGGAGGTTCTTATTAAACATGTCAGACTTTTCATTATTGTCCTACAGGTTCCTGAATTTCTATTTTTTCATATTAAATAATTTCTATTGATCTATCTTTAAGTTCTCAGATTATTCCCTCAGATATTTTCTCTATTTTAAGCTCAACAGATATTACATGTTTTAATTCTATAATTTCCATTTTAAAAAGTAGTTTCTGTTTCTCTGATAAGATTCCCTATGTTTTTCCTTTACTTTGAACATATTTTACTTTTTTCATGAAGCATGGTTTTTTGTTAGTTTGTTTGTTTGGTTTTATTTTTGTTTTTTAGGTGAAGTCTTGCTGTCACCCAGGCCGGAGTGCAGTGGCGCAATCTCAGTTGCTGCAACCTCTGCCTCCCAGATTCAAGTGACTCTCCTGTCTCAACCTCCTGAGTAGCTGGGACTACAGATGTGTGCAACCAACCCCAGCTATTTTGTATGTGTGTGTGTATGTGGATTTTTAGTAGAGACAGGGTTTCATCATGTTGGTCAGGCTGGTCTCTAACTCCTGACCTCAAGTGATGCACCTGGCTCGGCCTCTTAAAGTGTTAGGATTACAGGTGTGAGCCACCGTGCCCGACCTATCAAGCATAGTTATAATAGCTGCTATAAAATCTGTTAATTCCAATGTCTGGGTCATTCAATATCTGGTCTTGTAGGATTGTCTTTTATGTTAACACTAGGTCTCACTTCCTCGGTTCTTTTAGATCAAGTTGGGTTGATCTTGGACATTGTGACTATTGTATTGTGAAGACTCTGCACGCTCCTGTTGTCCTACAAAATTTATTGATGTTTTTGTTCTAGCAGTCAATTATCTTGATTGTACTCAAAATACAAATGACTCGTGAACAGCAGTTCAAATTTTAGTTCAATTGTTTTATCCTTAGCAGGCTGCTTGCAGGAGTTTCTAAACATGCATGGTTTAGGGGTTAACCAGAGACTTGAACAGGTAGTCTCTTACACATAGAAGTCTCTCATGCAGGAAATGGAGCTGCCATCTTTGGCTCTCTTCTTTGCATCATTCCTTTCTCACTTTCCAGCAGCTTTGTTTGCCCAAACTTTGTCTTCTGGTTCTTCTGGCCAGAAATAACATGGTTTTTCTAGCAGAATTTTAGATGCTCCATGCGATGCCAACTTCAGTCTGCCTTCAAGCTAAAAGCTATACAAATAGCAACTCCACTCCATGCAAATCAGTGATACCAAGTGTCAATACTTTCTCTTTGCCACCTGCTTTTGTTTATTCTCCAGGACCTTAAGGTCATGTGTGTGCATGCATGTGTGTGTGTATTTTATCTAGAGCATTTTGTCTAGAGTCTATGGTTTTTATCTGTGGGTAGGTAGGTCTGATAGAGGATTACTCAGCTATGTTGAATCAGAATTCCCCAGTCTTTACTACTTTTATTATCTTTTCCTGTTGCATTACTGGGCACTGCCTAAAAATTTATAAATAACTGTGGTGATAGATGTTACTGTCGCCATGTCATAGACTAATATATTACCATTAACGATGATGTTGACTGTTACTTTTACATATATATAATTTTTAAAATTATCTTTAAATATTCTTTTTTTTTTTTTTTTTTTTTTTTGAGACAGAGTCTCACTCTGTCCCTCAGGCTTGAGTGCAGTGGCATGATCTCAGTGCACTGCCACCTTTGCCTCCCAGATTCCAGCAATTCTCCCGCCGCAGCTTCCCGAGTAGCTGGGACTACAGGTGTGCACCACCATGCCCGGCTTATTTTGGATTTTTAGTAGAGACGGGTTTCACAGTGTTGGCCACGCTGGTCTTAAACTCCTGACCTCAGGTGATCCACCTGCCTCGGCCTCCCAAAATGCTGGGATTACAGGCATGAGCCACCGCACCTGGCCAATATTCTTTCTCACATTAAGAAAGTATTATCTCTATGTAGTTTTATTACAGTTCTTATCAATAATAGTTGTTAAATTTATCAGATTTATCAGTATTGCAGCTATTAAAATAATTACATCATTTTAATCCTTTTGACCTATGGGTAATGAGTTATAATAACATATAGAAACCTTTAATTTCTTGATGGTTTTATTTGGCTGTTGTAAACTTGTACTAGTATAGTGTTGATCGGTATTTTATTTTAAATTTGTGAAAAATCCTGAAGTCAGAGGTAAGATTAACTTGTAGCCTTCTTTATTTTTCCAGACTTTGGCTTTTAAGACTATACCAGCTTATAAAAAGAAATGAAAAGTTGTTTACTTTTTAATTTAATGATATTATATTGCATGAGAACAATTTTTTCCATGAAAGCTTAAAACAACTTATCTGTAAATCTATCTGGGGCTGGTTACTCTTTTAAACTATGTTTTAAAGGTAGTTATTTGAAACTCCCTTACATTCCTTTTAAGAATTATTGATGGGCTCCAATTTCCAATTCCTCGTGACAATGTTGGTAATTTTTCTTTAGGATAAAGTTGCTTTGACTGTCTTTCAAGACATCTGTGGTCTATCCCCCTCACAACTCATCTTCTTACCTATTTGAACTTATCTTTTAATCCCAATAAATAATAAATGCCTTCCTGATATAACTATACTGTTTTTCTGCCTGTCTTATGAACATTCCAGGCTTATGCTGTTGATCTTGCCTGAAATACCCTTGTCTTTTAAATCTTAGCATTTTCTTCTCCCTCTATGAAATCTTTCCTATTTTAGTCTTCATGGATATCCCTCCCTTTTTAAACTCTTCCTCATTTATATATTGTATTGATTGGTTTGCTTTTTAGTGATATTACTCTATTTTATTTACTACTGTTTTGTGTATGCAAATCCTATACCATAAAAATGTGAGGTCTTTGTGGCCTAGACTTTTGTCATATACCTTATTTTTATTTCATATTATCCAGAACGAAATATATTCTGTGCCTAGTGTGAAAAAAAATGGGTTCTAAACAGTTAGTTGTTTAGTTTGTTAACAGAGAACCACAAAGTATTCCATTTATATTAACATGTGCATATGTATATTTTGAATGCCTAGATATGTGCATTTTAATAAAAAATATATGGACCCAATCTGATCCTCTAGTCTAGGAAAAGCCGGATCATTGTTTTTCAGTTTCTTCTCTACTCAGAACTGATCTGCTGTACCAACTCTATGTTAGAGTAATCGTTTGTTAAAACCGAGAAGGCTTTATTTCTCAGTATTTGAACTTCAGACTTCCCCTGAACTTGGAGAGAGAAATTTTTTTTTTTTTTTTTTGAGACGGAGTCTCGCTCTGTCGCCCAGGCTGGAGTGCAGTGGCCCGATCTCCGCTCACTGCAAGCTCCGCCTCCCGGATTCACGCCATTCTCCTGCCTCAGCCTCCCGAGTAGCTGGGACTACAGGCGCCCGCCGCCTCGCCCGGCTAGTTTTTTTGTACTTTTTAGTAGAGACGGGGTTTCACCGTGTTCGCCAGGATGGTCTCGATCTCCTGACCTCGTGATCCGCCCGTCTCGGCTTCCCAAAGTGCTGGGATTACAGGCTTGAGCCACCGCGCCCGGCCTGGAGAGAGAAATTTTATGTGAATATAAAGGTTAAGTTTCATAGACAAAGGAAAAATAAATTAGTAAAAAGTGTGAGCATAAGCAGATCTTTTAACTTCTGAAGGTTTGTTTTCTTATTGATAATGCTCATCTCATAGTAGGTTTTTCTGAGAATTAAATCACATTTGAAAATATTTAAAGAACCAGACAGCTGTTAGTTATCATAATTCAATATTGCAAATGTGAATACTCAAACACAAATTATTTATTAATATACACGGAAAGAAATCATTTCTAAGATAATTTTCCATTTTTCCTGATGTTTAGATGGAAAATGCAAAGCCTCTGAATGTTCTACATCCACAGCATAGACAAGCATGTAGAAGATCCCTGGGTTCTACAGACTTTTCTCCTATGTTCAACATTCAGTCTAATGCTCATAAAAAGGAAAAAGACTCTACTTTATTTACAGGTATAGAAATTGCATGTTTACATTGAAATAATTGAAAGTTACCTGCATCTAAACTTAGGGTGTAAGCATTAAGAAAATCTTTAACCAAGGAATATTAGTCTTTGATCACACTACAATAACGATCTTTCTCCAGCCTTCTTTTCTTTCTCGTAAACCTATCCACACCACACTGATTCTAGTTATATTTAACAGGCTGTTTTACTTAGTTAACCAAATTACTGTGTGATTTGATTCATTGTATGTTGCCTATGCTTCAAACATATGTTTTCACCTGATGGATTCCTGTTCGACTTTCATAGTTAAGAGATTTTAGCCTCAAATAAAAGAAAATCCAACCGCCTGTAGCTTAAACTGTAAAGATATTTATTATCTAAAAAAAACAAGAAGTCCATCAGAAAGGCATTTGCAGGGTTGGCTCGTTCAGGGGCTTTATAATGTCATTAGATATTCAGTTCCATGCATCTATTTGACAGACCTGGAGTAGTTACTGTCTGCTGCTAAGGTTTCCACCACAGATGCAAGAAAAAAAATATTCTCGTGCTTTCTGTCTGTCTGATTGTGGCTGCTGAGATTGAATAGAGGAATACAGTGGTGGAAAAAATGTCCAGTTCCTCTGTCTTTCCTCAATGGTCTTAGCAGGTAGCTTGTCCTCCTATCCTTGCTGTACAGTATGATGACAACTATTCAATATAGCTTGTGTGACTAGAAATGCTTTTTATGCCTTGGTAAGAATGAAAAAAATGTTTTTCCCAAAGCCAACTCCCCCTTATGTTTCTTTGGCTCAAAGAGCCTCATGCATCCACATCTAAACCAATAAATCATCATTGGCTTAGATCACTTTTTCCAACTTTCAACATGGCCACAGTAGGAAATACTTTTTATATTACACACACACACACACACACACACACACACGGAGCAGAAGATTCAGCTTTCTAGAGTCCTAATTATCTCTCTTTCTCTCTGTCAGTTGAATTCGATTGTAGTATTTCTGTATTTTGTAAAGTAATTACTAAGGATCCAGATGATACATTCTGTTATAGTCTACTTCATTTTCTTAAATGCTGTTCAGGATACACTAAATTGATTTCACAACACAGGAATGGTTTGTAGCTCACATTTTGAAAAACACAGCTTAGATTACTCAAGATTTACTCCATTGAGCCGGGAAAGATACCAGCCTTCTTTGTAGGACATGGTTGCTTGGAAGGAGATAAGACTGGAGTGCTGTTAGTAAAGAAGGGTAAAAAATGACTGTGAAGTAGGCAACCTCCATTTGCTACATTATCCTTGAAGGTTCCATTCAGATGCCACATCTTCTCTGAAGTGTTCCCTGAAAGCAGTGACAGGATGTTCTATTAGTTCAGCAAAGCAATCTCCCTTTAGAAAAGTTCTTAAGTCTCTCTAAGGAAGCATTTTATACTTTTTAATCAAAGTCCCAAAGTAAGACTTCTGGGAAAGTTGTCAACATAAATACAAGTTCATCCTGGCCAGAATGAATAACACAAAAAGAAAATAGAGAAGAAAAACTTATTAAATTGAAACTGGGACATTTTATCCCTAACTCAAAGAAAATCTGTCACATATTACATTATGAAGCAGTTTCAAAGAATCTTCCAGAAGTCAGCGCACAATTCCATTTCTTAGGAGAAAAGAATAACCGTTGAAAGAGCCAATAGAGAATATTCTGAAAAAAATCCCCTATTATAACCACCGACTCCACTACACACACACACACATACACACACACACACACACAGACACACACACACACACACACTCTCTCTCACATTCAACTTAAAGAAATAGAGTTTGTTATCAATGATAGGTCCGAGAAAGATGCGAAATTCTCCCCTTGGGATTCCTTTCCTCATTGTAAGTCAGCAGCATTCAAAGTCTGTGCTAGCAATATTTGGAGAGAAATATAATGATCATAACTTGTCACTTTTTTCTCTGGCTTCCTCGTATTGCTTTAGATGTACTCAGAGCTAGGGTAAAAACCTCCTAACTTGAAGGAGCAGGGACTTGAAAGGAGGGTTGATAACAGAAGAGACAAAATACAGTTTTCTAGGAACGATTTTTGGATTGTGACCAACGATAACTGCAAAGAAAAAACACAATTCCTTCAAATAGCCTGTGAGCCATGAGGCCCTTACTTGACTAAGTTCCTCCCTCAACTACCAAACTAACTTGCTTACCCCAAGAGAGAGATAAAAAAATGAAACCCAAGTGACACCTCACACATAAACAGAGTACCCACCACCACCACCACCCTGGGGTCATGAAAAGGTTTCACAAAATATACAGTGCCCAGAAACAAACTTCTCCACCATCTTCCAGGGCTACAGCTTCCTTATCAGCCTACTCAGTAGCTGAGTGCCTGAACTCATAATAAAAGGTAACGACATCTGGATTTACATGTTAATTTCTAAGGGGAGAGTTTAACAGTGCATAAGTAAACAGGGAGAACATAAAAAAATTTACATCTGTTGTTTTTGGACAAATAAATAAGCCCACATTTAAGTGATCTGATTCAAAGTTGAGCAGAAAGAAAAATAAGAACAAAGCATGGGACCTATGGAAAAATTCCATAGCGAAGAGAGGTCATAATTTAAAAAATAGCTGATGGTCACATTTTGGCAGAATTTGTTCCCCATGAACCAGGAATAAACTTAAACAATAATTGTTCTATATGCTGAAGGAGTTAAAGAAAATCAGAATTCTATGAAGTAAGATTTGGAAATGTAAAACATAATCATCAAGAATGAAATGATGCTACCAGAATTAAAAAATATTTTTAAAGAAATAGGTAATGCTAATAGGTAACTTAAAATTATGTTAAAAGCCTCAAAGAGTAAAATAAACATTGAAGTAAACCAAACTGAAATCCGAAAAGCAGTTTTGGAATATATACAGTGTGCAGTGTAAGGGGACAAAAATATGACCACATTAGACAAGATAGTATATTGAGGGAAGAAACCAGGTATCCAACACTGAGATAAACAGTGAGTTTGAAGGAAAGAACAGAACAAATCAAATGAATTGACTAAAAGGGGGTGGGGGGAAACTATCGGAGAATAATGGAAATACTCTATATCTTGATTTTACTTACATGAGTGCATATATTTATCAATGTTTATCAAACTGTTCATTACGTTAAAATACGTGTATTTTATTGTATGTAAATTATACCTCAATAAAGCAAAGTTAAAGAAAAAAACAAAAGGCTGACATGACAGAAGTCTAAAACACCAAAAATACGGTAGATTAAAATAACTGCAAAAAGCTTACACAAGTGCAGCAAATATTAACAATATTTCATTTAAAATGCAAAATACTATTAGTTTTTAAAGACAATGCTGATTAAATACATAGCAGTTCATCAAATTCTGTGCTCATCATTGACTCCTGTATCCTACCATTTGTGTTTGTTTATTTTTTTTGAGACAGAGTTTCACTCTTGTTGCCTAGGCTGGAGTGCAATGGCGCGACCCTGTCTTACTGCAACCTCCCAAGTAGCTGGGATTATAGGTATGCACCACCACGCCCGGCTATTTTTGTATTTTTGGTAGAGATGGGGTTTCACCATACTGGTCAGGCTGCTCTCAAACTCCTGTCCTCAGGTGATCCACCTGCCTCAGCCTCCCAGAGTGCTGGGATTACAGGTGTGAGCTACCACACTCAGCCCCATCTGTGTTCTATTACATTTTTCATGAAGAGCATATGTTAGTCATTCTTTCAATGGTGACCTGTTGGCTGTTAACTCTTTGGATCCTTATATATCTGAAGTGCCTTTATTTTGCTGTCACTCTGGAATGACTGTTGAGTTTATGTAAATTTCTACACTGTAAATTACTTTTTCTCAGCACTTTACAGATAACTTTATTATCTTCTTGAATCATTCATAGATTAGAATTCTGTTCATAGTCCAATTGTCATTCTTCTATAGAATAACTGTTTTTAACTTTCTGGTAGTTTTAGGACTTTTCTCTTTATTCTTTATGATTCGCATTTTTAGTACAAAGTGTCTGGATATAGATGTATTCTGTCTGTCATCTTCAATCCTTGAGATACATGTCTGTCAGTTAGAATTATTGGTTGTTATCTCTTCAAATATAGATTCTTTACCATTTCTGCTATTTTCTTCTTCCAAAGCTATTGGATAAATGTCCAAGACTTGCAGTGGGTTTTTCATGATTTTGAACTGTTCTTTCAGGTTTTTTATTTATCTTTCTATGCATTCTTGGTGAATTCCTCAACATTTTCTTTCAATTCATTAATTTTCCCTTTGCCCATGTAATCTAGATTTATATTTCTTACTTCCAAGATTTCCAGTTTTTAAAATATTGACCTGTTTTTATTTTTACCTTAGTCTGTTTTTATTGAATAATAGCTTATTCTCTAATGTATTTTTTTATTTATACCTTTGAAATTTCTAAACATATTTTATCAAATCTAAGATGTCATCAATTGACACTGTTAATTTAAGTATGACACTTGCTACTATACCTCTTAAAATTGAGGTATGTATCTTAAGACGGCAAGGGTTTTCAGTTTATTTTTAGATTCTTCTATTTAATTGTATTGCTGACCCCCTTGTAGATTTTGTTTGCTGCCTTTCTTAGATTTATATTTTTCATATGTTTTATTATTATAATTTTTTTTTGAAACTGAGTCTCATCCTGTCACCTAGCCTGGAGTGCAGTGGCATGATCTCTGCTCACTGCCACCTCCAACTCCTGGGTTCAAGCAACTCCTGCCTCAGCCTCCCAAGTAGCTGGGATTACAGGCGTTTGCGACCATGCCCAGCTGATTTTTGTACTTTTAGTAGAGGCGGGGTTTCACCATGTTGGCCAGGCTGGTCTCGAACTCCTGACCTCATGTGATCCACCCACTTCAGCCTCTCAAAGTGCTGGGATTATAGGTGTGAGCCACTGCACCTGGCAATATTTTTCATATGTTTTAGAATTTCAGAAGGTTCTCTCTCTCTTATTCACCACTCACTATATGTCACTCTTTCCTTTCCAGAAGTTTTGCAGTTGCCATTACTCAGACCTCATGGCCCTCAGGCCAGACCAGATTTTAGAGTTGTGAATGGGATTCCTCTGCCAGGGTAATAATTGGGGATATGGCAGATTCAGTCATCCATCTCTGATGTGGTTTGACTTAGTTCCAGGTTAGCCAATTGGCAATGGAAAGAACTGATTTTTACTCTCCTTTCAAAAGTCAGGGATCCTTAACCCAGCACCTTGTTTCAGTCAGTGGGCCTGTTTTTCTCCTATCTATCCCATTCCTGCAAATGGGAAAAAGTTGGATCTCCCTCTAAGTAGAAACTGAAGCCAACCATTTCTCACCACCTACACTGCTACAATCCTTATCGAGTCAACCAACAAGTTTATCTAGATAATAGCAACAGCCTCCTAACTGGTTACTCCATTGCTACTCTTGCCACCCACATTCCCCCTTCTCCCCACAGACCATCCATCTCTGAGCGAGCAGAGTGATCTTTCTAAAGTATAAATGAAACTACATTATTGTTCTGTTGAAAACCCTCCTAAGGATCTCTGTTGTAACCAGAATAATATCTTAACTCTTCACCATGGCTTATGTGACCCTAGATGACTTTGCCCTGCTACATGTTTCAACCCATCTTACTCTGCTCTCCTCCTAATTCACCGCACCCGAGCAACACTGGCCTCTTTGTTCTTTCAGCATTCCACACTGACCTCACACTGAGACCTCCATCCACACTTGCTGTTTCCTCTGCCTCTTTCTCTTTACTCAGATTTCAGCTCAAATATCCCTTCTTAAAAGAGGACATCTATAGCCACCCTAGGTGAAGTACTATGTTTATATTCTTCCATAATACTTGAATGCTTCAAATACTTCCAAAGTATTCGAAATTATATTATATATTTATTTGTTGGTTGGTTTACTTGTTTTTGTTGTTGTCGGAGTTTTTTTTTTGTTTGTGTTTGTTTTTGTTTTTTGAGATGGGGGTCTTACTATACTGCCCCAGCTGGCCCCAAACTCCTGGCCTCAAGCAGTCCTCCCACTTCAGCCTCCTGAATAGCTGGGATTACAAAGGCACATCACCATGCCCAGCTGGTTTACTTGTTTATTGACCATTTCCTCCCTCTAGAACAGAGCTTCCCAAATAGTACTGTGGTAAACTGTTGTGCTTGGAGGGGGTTATAGGTGTGCTGAAATATTGATTCCTTGGCCATCAAGGTTGCTCAGTTGACCCTATGGTAGCCTACCCAGACTCAAGCATTTATTCCAGTATACTGTACAAATAATATAAATTAGTATGCTTGCAATTAAATGGGAAAGACTGGGAAGTACTGCACTAGAATATAAACTACTTGAGGACGAGGAAAAAGCTGAAACTGTTGCTAATAGCATGTGTGTGTAGAAAAATGCTGGAGTGGCCACCAGACATGTTTGGAAGAGATCAACCTTGGATGCTGACTTCATGCCACATGGCAAGATCTGTTTGATATCTGCAAGCTGTCTTCCCTCCCTACCAAGTGATAACCGTCTGAAGCTTCCTACTGGTTAATAGTGACGCCACATAACGGAGAGATTTGAAAATTTAGGGATGCCTTTCTTCCACAAAAAATCTCCAAGACCACTTTTATGTTTGATCTGTTTTAGCCAAATACTGGAGCTTTGATCTCAGTCTTTTCCAGTTCTATCTAGTTCATTCAAGAAATATTTACTGAGTAGCTGCTACAGACCAGGCACTATACTAGGTGCTTTCCATATGTTATTTTAAATTGTAAAATATTTTGTGCAAGATATTTTCCTAAATGTCAGAATATCTATGTGTCTTTTATGAAAATCTTTTAAAATTTCAGGTCAAATTGAAAAAAAACCTAGAAAACCATTGGATTCTGTTGGTCACTTAGAAGGTGATAGAAATAAAAGGTAATTTATTTCAAAATACTTAGTATTTTGTTCTGTTTAATGATGTTTCTAATAGGACATATTTTATAATTGACCAGAATAAATTTATTCTACCTTATTGTTATCATTTAGTTCCATAGTACAATCGAACGGAGAGAAAGGCATGGAAAAATGAATAGAGGGAATACAATTTTTTTTTTTTTTTTAGTAAATGCACACATTTACTTACACTACAACACGGATGTGAAAAAGTAGCTTTTCTTTGGATAAAGTTCTCATTTTTCTCATGAACCCTTCAAACTTTATGTAGTGAAAAAATCATTAATCCAGTGTGTTTCAAACTTTGTTTGAATCAATAATGAACAACCACTTTAGGTTTAATTCAGTTTAAAAACTATATCCTGGCCGGGCGCAGTGGCTCACGCCTGTAATCCCAGCACTTTGGGAGGCCGAGGCAGGCGGATCACGAGGTCAGGAGATCAAGACCATCCTGGCTAACACGGTGAAACCCCATCTCTACTAAAAATGCAAAAAAATTAGTCGGGCCTGGTGGTGGGCGCCTGTAGTCTCAGCTACTCGGGAGGCTGAGGCAGGAGAATGGTGTGAACCCGGGAGGCAGAGCTTGCAGTAAGCCAAGATCGCGCCACTGCACTCCAGCCTGGGCGACAGAGCGAGACTCCGTTTCCAAAACAACAACAACAACAACAACAACTATATCCTGTCTCTGCCTGACCATACTACTCTATCCTCTTAACAAATGTGGGGCCACCCTGTGTTGGCATGAAGCTGCCCTGTGAAGCTTCTTTCAGAATCTCAACATAGGACGTTGCAAAGACCTCTCTACCTTTGGTGTTCTCCTCAACCTACATAATCATACAACTCGTCCCCACTCAAAATCCAAAGAGGTATATATATGACTCTCTTGCTTCCACTCCTGCTCTTGCTGTGTTCTCCCACAAACCAGGCAGGAAGGGATGATCTTGTCAGTTTGAAAGTCTGTGGGAGAGAGGTTGGTGCAGAAGTTGGCAGTGACTTCCAGGGATAAAAGGAGGCAGACAAGAACTAACAAGCTGCAATCAGCCCTATGAACATTGCCCTGAACTGTGTTTATTTTCAGAAAAAAATCTCCACAGATGAATGATTTTAATATAAAAGAAAACAAATCTGTCAGAAATTATCAATTAAGTAAGTATCATTCAGTAAGAAAGAAAAGCTTGCTCCCGTTGTGCTTTGAGGATGAATTGAAAAATCCACATGCCAAGATAATCAGCGTTAGTCCAACAAAGACAGTAACTTCTCACATGGTAATAAGCATATCATCTATCGTTAAGTAAACATGTGTAGTTATACAACTTACGGGAATCACCCATATATTTTAGTGACCAGAATCTTTGATAAATCCTTCTTACCTCTTGGTTTCATATTCCAAAGTGATAACAGCACTTAAGTTCTTAATGCTCTTTGCATAACCCCCAAACCACGCATTCCTTTACACTAGCTGAAAATTCAGTGTTTTTCTTTATGAAGAAGGCTTTATCAAATTTGCTTGGTTATAATAGAACTATAAAATAAAAAGGATTTTTTAAAAAATGACTGTAGCAATCTAGCAGAATGCAGTGGTGTGCACCTGTAATCCCTGCTACTCTGGAGTCTAAGGCAGGGGAATTGCTTGAACCCAGGCATTTGAATCCAGCTTGTACAATATAACAAGATCCCAGTTCTAAAATAATGGGACTATGACTATGTGTCCATTTTTCTAATAATCTGTTTTGGCTTTTTCAACCAGAAAGTGCATTTATTAAAGGCTATTTAGTAACTCATGCTCTCTAGAGAGGCAGTCTGGCTCGAAAGCTGTCTAGCCAGGAATCACCTAATTATATAGCCCCAGACTGCTCCACTGAGGCCCATGCTATTGTCACAGATAACAGTTTATAACTCCGATGCTGAGCAGGGAATACTCTAAGACATTTGCTACTGCTGTTGTTCAAAGCTAGATATAACTCCTACCACCCTCACTAGAATAGTTTTCCCAATACTTTTTCACAGTGCTTGCTTTCTCTGAACTGAAGACTTCATAGGTGTATCTGAATGGCAGAGCCTAGAGCAAATGCCTATGTCCTAACCGCAAAGAAGCTGACAAACATGGTTCTTGCCTCTACCTAAGAGTACATAGACTTACCAAGCAGAAAATGTCCTAAGGCGTTGGACAGACCAAAAACATTACAAACATCCATTATGATGGCTAAATAGGTAATATTGGCATCACCAGTGGATTGCAAAACTAGATCTTTGTCATCTTTTCAGTAATGATAGCAGACTTGGCTATTACTATGATAAAAATGATCTATTCTCGAGTCAGTCTATTACTTTGGCTATTTTATTCCACAAATATTTATTGAGCACTTTTTAGGTGTCAGGTGTTAGGTGCTAAGTATTAGGGTACAATAATATCAGTTGTAGAGATAATTTTTAATTTTTTGAATTATTTACTAGAATATCCAGATTTGTAATTTTGGCCTGTAATCAGTTATGTCTCTTCTGAACTTTGACTCAATCCATTTTTTGGTATGCTTTTTAATTTCTAGAATATGGAAACCTAAGAAATGCCAGTACAACTACCCTATTTCTCAATGGCAGTACCTCAGATATTTAACAAATATATTTATTTTTTCATATTCCAATTTATTTCAGAAAACATTTAAGGTCAAAAGTTCAAGTTTCATGACTAACATCTCTATACAATATTAAGATAAGAAGGATGTATGTTATATACAAGTACAGTATTTTCATATATTTGAATAATGCTACTGTTCATATTAAATATTTGTATGTAGTCATTTTTAGAATATTTTACAATTTTATTTACATGTTTTAAAATATATGGAGCTTTCTTGACTTAATGAACTTACGACTAATTACTCTTTTCTTTAATCCACAGGAACAAAAGGACACAAATCCCATAATTTTCCATGACTCAGAATATGTACGAATGTTACTTTTGACAAAAAATAGATTTTCTTCTCATCCATTGAAAAATGAAAACAATTACCCACATAAAAGAACAAATTTTGTTTTAGAAAGAAATTGTGAAATCCTCAAATCTATAATTGGTGATCAATCTATTTCTCTTTTCAAACCCCAAAAAACAATGCCTACAGCACAGAGAAAAGATATACAGATCCCCATGTCTTTTAAAGTAGGCCACACAACTGTCTATGATAAACCAAAGAGGAAAACTAATAAGCAGACACCAGAAAACAGATCTTGGAATACACTCTATAATTTCTCACAGCACTTTTCTAGCCTAACAGAACAATTTGTGGGTTACCTTGATAAAGCTGTTATTCATGAAATTAGTGCCCAAACTGGAAAATTTGAAAGAATGTTTTCTATAGAAAAACCAACGAGCATACCCACATCCAGTGCCTCACCTGTCAAATGTTATTCAAAGCCTTTTAAATATATATATAAACTAAATAATGTAACACCACTGGATAATTTATTAGACTCGTCAAGTGAAATTTTAAATGCCTCATAAAATATCATGTATGCAACAATATTGGAGCAACAAGAAGCAAATATCCAAGTTCCAAAATTATAAAAGAAATTCTTATCCAAATAGTAATGTTCGAATTGATCATATAAGAAAGCAAAGCATAGACATTGGAATTACAAGTCAGCAGTCATCTGTTCAAGAACAATCAACATTTGTAGTAAATAATAGGACAAAATTAGGAAATAATTATCACCAAGAGGATCTAGTTCATGACTTTCTATTATCTCAATTAGATTGCTCAATCATCAGCCTTTCTATACTAAACTCTGATTCAGGACCAAGAACAGTATAGTCTGACTCTGGAAATGCGCTGTTGGAAGCCAAATAACATCAATACTCTTTTTCTATAATTGAATATCAAATAAGACAAATTATCATTAATTTAATGAACGTGGAGTTAATTGTATATCAGCATTTCAGCAAATCATCATCAATAGTATTACATTAACAATTTGTGCAATTAAAAAGGCTTTGTAAAACTTTGAATAGTTTTTTATTATTGTTAGTAGATGTTGGAACTTCATTATTATATAATGTTTTTGCAAACTTTAACTTTTTTCTGAATTGTTAAATAAAAGAATAACTATCCTTAATCTAAAAATTTTTGGTAGCAAATCCTATAAGGTATTAAACATTTTAAATTATATTATTACATTGTTATTTTACTTTCTCATTAACTTGAACAGTATAAAGGCAAAATTCAATTTAGAAACAAGTTGCATTTTGAAAGTTTATTGGTAATCCATTTGTTTGGAATTCAGAAATGCATTTCACATAAAAATAATCTTGTAAGTAATAAATTCCAAAATTAAATAACAGAAACTTACTTAAAATTTAATCCCATAGAGCTTATATGAAAATGGTAAAAAGCAATAATTTTGTAATTCCAATAACTAAAAGAGAAAACTGAGTAAGGAAATAATTTTTCAATCTTGACTGTTACTACTTGAAGAAAAACAGATTGAATTAAATGCATTTAAGTTAAGAAAAGGCTTTCGGGGTCTTTTGGAACATTTTAGGGTGAGGAGGTAAACTGGTTTAGGTTCCTCTGCTTCTACTTCAGACTGGAGATTTTCTTTATTATGCATCATCATCAATACTACTCAGGAGCATCTTCACAACTAGAGGGAGGTTTGGACTCTCAAAAAGAATGACAAGGAGAGAAAAATGGAGGTGAGGCCGGGCGCGGTGGCTCAAGCCTGTAATCCCAGCACTTTGGGAGACCGAGACGGGCGGATCACGAGGTCAGGAGATCGAGACCATCCTGGCTAACACAGTAAAACCCCATCTCTACTAAAAAATACAAAAAACTAGCCGGGCGAGGTGGCGGGCGCCTGTAGTCCCAGCTACTCGGGAGGCTGAGGCAGGAGAATGGCGTAAACACGGGAGGCGGAGCTTGCAGTGAGCCGAGATCCGGTCACTGCACTCCAGCCTGGGTGACAGAGCGAGACTCCGTCTCAAAAAAAAAAAAAAGAAAAATGGACGTGGAGGAGGAGAGATGTACCTGGAGATTGTGTGAATGAGAGAAGAGAGAGAGAAAAGCTTCAAGATAAGGTGTTGGGCTCAGGTCTGTAGGAGGTAGGGGAGGGGCATACTTACTTCCAGTTGCTGGCTGGGAAAAGGAGACGCTGCTGCAGCTCCAAGTAATGAAGTTGTCTTTTTCTTTTCCCCTTCATTCTTCTCTGGTTGCTTTTATATGTTCTCCCCCTGTTTTCCCTCATCCAAACTTACTGCAAAGCAAAACAGCTTCCCTAACTACACTGCCAACTCAGAACATAAAACAAACTCTTTTTAAGCACTAATGATCAGAGTAACAAGAATTAGAAAATATACCTAATATTAGTACAAGTCATGACGGTAGTTTCTCTTGATACTCAGTATAAGAGAAACAATAGGAATAGGGCAGATAGGAGCAAATTGGGGCAAATAATGTAAATTATCTGAGCTTCAGTTTATTGTATCTCCACCTTAAAATGGAGACAACAATAATTTATTACACTGCTATTCTCAGGATTACATAAAATAGCATCTAGTACTTTGAGCTTTGTAGCATTCAATAGAAATTTCCTTTCTACTCCCTCCTTTTCTCTGTAAGCCTGCTCTTAATGTAAGTGTGATCTCTTCTCTTCTTTTCTTTTTTTTTTTTTTTTATTATACTTTAAATTCTAGGATGCATGTGCACAACGTGCAGGTTTGTTACATATGTATACATGTGCCATGTTGGTGTGCTGCACCCATTAATTTGTCATTTACATTAGGTATATCTCCTAATGCTATCCCTCCCCCCACTCCCTCCCCACAATAGGCCCTGGTGTGTGATGTTCCCCTTCCTATGTCCAAGTGATCTCATTGTTCAATTCCCACCTATGAGTGAGAACACGCGGTGTTTGATTTTCTGTTCTTGCTTTTCTTTTCTTTCTTGAGACGGAGTCTCGCCTGTCACCCAGGCTGGAGTGTAGCAGTAGCGCAATATCGGCTCACCTGCAACCTCTGCATCCCGGGTTCAAGCCATTCTCCTGCCTCAGCCTCCCAAGTTAGCTGGGATTACAGGTGTGTGGCACCACACCTGGCTAATTTTTGCATTTTTAGTTGAGACGCAGATTTTACCATGTTGGCCTCAAGTGATCTGCCCACCTCGGTCTCCCAAAGAGCTGGGATTACAGGAGTGAGCCACCATGCCCAGCCAGTGTAATTTCTAAAAAGATACTCCCAAAAGTTTCTCACTCCAAACTTTTCTAAATTAAATGCTAAAAACTACAGTATTCAGATTTTAACCCAAGGTGGGCTGAAATTACTACTGAGAATTTCTGTATTAGTTATTTTTGGGAGTTTCTGCGGGAACTTGTGAGCTTTATCCTTTAAGAAGGCACTAAATTAACTTTAAAATTACACTTGGCTGAGGATTCTCCATTAAAGCAGCTCAAGAACAAGAAGCAGTGGATTCTGAGAAGATGACAACCTAAGCTCTACTCCAGCTTTAATTTATCATCTTCTAAACTAAACAGCTACTAGGGTCTTCAAGCAGCAGAGTGCAAGGCCAGACTTGGCTTCTATTCTGATACTGAGATCTGAGTATGGCCTTGGAGGCCAGTCTGTGTTCCAGGGAGAGGATTGAGTTTGTGCTGTTTCCTGGACTAGCCGGCCAGTTGGGATCTGTGGATTACTCTAGGTAAAGGTTGCCTTTGTCCCTCTGTAAATGCTCCTGGTCTTATTGGCCCCTAGGAGGCCAAAAAGGAGCCACTATATCTATAAGACAACTTGGAAACCAGAGATCCATGAATTTTCTTTCAAATATCTCATCAGGGGACTGTGGTCTGCTTACTTTTGTTAAATTAAATAAGCATTTAATTTAATTTACTTCTGTTAAATTAAATAAGCATTTGCCTGAGGTTGTCTCTGTACTTTGAGTTTTATATAACAAACTGCAACCTAACTTCATACATAAGCAAACTGAAACTTAGGAGTATAATAAATAGTTGAATTTCATCTGATCACAACCAGCCAGATTTCAGTCAGGTTTCTGCCAATCACAGGCAGTCAGCTCATCACACCAAGCCCAAATAAGGCAGACACTTAGCTGTAGCCAATCAGGTGATTTCTCTATTTTGCTTCTGTGTCAGCCTATAAAAGCTTCCTACTAACAATGCTAAGCAGAATCCTTCGTACCTCTTCTGGTTCTGAGTGCTGCCCAATTCATGAGTTGTTCTTTGTTCAGATAAACTGTGAAATTTAATTTGTCTAAAGTTTTCCTTTAACATTTTTATAGTACCAGCCCACAGTGGACAAGGCATTTACCTTCCACCCCTTACAGAACTATGGTCACTAAGGTACTACAATAAACAGAGCTGAGCTTCCCTGAGCCAACTAGAAAAAATAATAACCCATGTAAAGGGCCTAGCAGCCAAATGTTTCTATCTTGACAAATAATGGTCTTGGAGTTAATTAATATGATGATTTAAATGTATTTATCTGAAATAAGAACCTCTGGCTACAAAAATAACACTCTTCACCAACACTCCTAGGAGAAGCCAAAAAGGCACAGTACTGAAGCAATCTCAAAAGGTGGGAGCAAGACTTCCCTCGTAGCTGCTCATCTCCTTTCCAAGGGATGATAGATAGACCCTGATTGACCATAAATGTAATGATTAAGATCAAAAGGTAGGGGAAAATGACAATGAACATTTATTTCCCCACTCTTCTTGTTTCCCATTGGAAGAAAGTTTTATCTGTAGGAACACTCATAACCTCCACCCCATCCATTACTTACTTTTCCCCACTGATTAGCATGAAACCTGATTTGGGGTGACAGCAATTAGCCCATTTCGGAACTGGATAAGACTAATCTATTAAAAGATTGTAAGTGCTAGAGAATTGATTACTTTCTTCCCTTTTTGTCCCAGTTTAGAGACAGCAGCATTCTGGTTGATGTGTGTATTTGGTAGACTGAAATGGTCTACTGAATCTCTAACTGGATGAGCAATGCCATACTTGGAGATGGGGAGGCAGAACAGTGTCCTAAACAAGTCCATTCATCTTTGAACCTAAGCCATGCTGTGCAAACATATAACTATATTATAATTACCATCAACCTACCTGCTGCATCTATCAATTGCTTTCAAATTTGGGTGGTGAAGATGGGCATTATTTTTTAGTCCCCTCAAGCCCCAACACATATCTTCCAATGTGCTTTCCCAAAAGGCCTCTTGTCAAAGATACTGATTTCATTATCTAATATTTAAGATTTAAAAGATCACTCGGTTGATACTGTCAGAGATGGGAAAGTCTTGTAGGGCGGATCTATGTCTTACTAGTGATTTTTGCATCCCCAGTGTCTGACACAGGTACTAGCCCACAGTGAGTGTGGATGGGGTGGCAGGGAGAGCCACTAGAGCAATTCAAACTATTTACAAGTCATCAATCTTCCCTTCCTTGCTGAGCCACACTTTCCCAGAACTGAGATTCTGGTAGCCTGGGCCAGCCTCACCCATTTCCCTACCTACACCAGCTCTTAAAGTACCAGCCAGCATGATGGCTCACACCTGTAATCCCAGCACTTTGGGAGGCAGAGGCAGGTAGATCACTTGAGGTCAGGAGTTCAAGACCAGCCTGGCCAACATGGTGAAACCCCATCTCTACTAAAAATACAAAAATCAGCTGGGCATGGTGGCACATGCGTGTTGTCCCAGCTGCTCGGGAGGCTGAGGCAGGAGAATCGCTTGAACCCAGGAGGTGGAGGTTGCAGTGAGCTGAGATCGTGCCACCATGCTCCAGCCTGGGTGACAGAGCAAGACTCTGTCTCAAAAAAAAAAAAAAAAAATTAAAAATTAAGAAAAAAAAACCAGCCAGGGCTGAGCATAGACCTCTACTTGTTCTAGCATGGGGACTGAAATTTAACATGGGTTCTTTACCACAAAGAAGGCCTTTTATTAGAATATTGCACAGATAAATCTGAGATGACATTTCACCATCTTGATCATACTATAGGCAGCGCATCTGGAAACTTTTTTCTGTTACATAGAGTACTAAGTTCTTAGCATATCCAAGTTAAATCTATACCTGAACACAAGACTGGTATACTCTTACTCAGAGCCCA